CCACACCCTGCCATTCCTCCCTTAGCCATCCCCCTAGAGGTGAACTAAACAACCTACAAAAGATCAAGAGCAAACCCTAATAGTTAGCTAAACATAATATATCTATGACATCATTAATGATTAAAAAAAAAAGATCTATGACAGTTTGAATAAATGGAATGGCTAATCTAACAGTGAACAACAATTAAAAACAATAAATTGAAAAAGTTTAACCCTAAGGTGAGCTAAACAACCTACAAAGATCCATCACAATTTTAAAGAAGGAAAAAAAATCTGTAACAATTTTAAAACAGAAAAATGATAAATTACACAAAAATTTATCAAGAAAAAAAAAACGAAATTAGTGCACCCTAGTTTAGTTGGCTAAAAGCACCCAAATGGCTATCTTGTAAATAAACTGAAATGTCGTCCAAAGCACTGTTCATTTCTACAGTGCGATTTTCCCTCCTTCTTTAGACTGAAGTAATTATCATGTCAATCATTAAAATTTTGATATTTATTTTTTAATATTTTCATTAGAGATGCTCTAAACATAATCTGCGATACATAATAGAAGTCTAGGGAGAAAGTGAAACTACTGACATGTAGGCCCTGGCAAAAGTTTGACGTTAAAGCTTGCAATCTCCATGTAGTTTTTGTTTTGGTTTGTTTTCTTAGCCAAAATAAAAATATCCTTACTTTTTATTTTAAATTTATTATTATTAAAAGAGAATGAGAGGATTTAAAACTAGTATAATAATTTAGAAAATGATGAAGTCTCAAACTCGGGAGATATGAGTATAAATCTAACATTTATAATAATTTAGGAGATGATGAAGTCTCAAACTCGAGATATATGAGTATAAATCTAACACTTTATCCATTAAGATATTGGACCCCATGCAAATAATATCCTTGCAACCAAGGACAAAGCCTATTAAATCAATCCAACTGTGGTACATGATTTGCAAACTTAATTATCTCCATGAACTTTGTTCTTAATTATTAGACAAATCAACAAATGTTTATAGGTGATTTAATTAAAAGTTTCTGAAGCATGTGTAGCAATGGGCATTCTGATAATTATATCTTCTAATAGTAAATTTATTTCTGTCAGTTTGCCGTAAAAACTAAAACTAAATATATGAGCAAATGTGTCATTTTACTTTTAAAATAGAATTAAAATAGTTTATGATGTTTCGAAGGATAGAATATACCAGAGTTTTTTATTATTAAATATTTTGTACTTTTAAATAAAAATTGAACCAAAACACCCGGAAAATTATCCCTTACTGTTACTCTATTAGATTAATTGGAGATTTATCCTCTTTAATTTACTATTATGCTCGTATTTTTTATGAATAATAGTAAGGCCCCAGCAGCTGTTCTCCCAACCATTTGACCATGCTCATTGCACACTCTTAAAATTGGACACAAGTTTCAACATATAGAAAAAAAAAAAAAAGGAGCTTGCATGCATGCACGCACGTGTTATTGCAGTCCTCGGCCCTTGTTCATACCTTAATTATATGACAAGAAAATAGCCAACTAGACAATTTTCCTACTCCTTTGCCCCTTGGACGGCAGTAGAGATTGGTGGAGTAACCATCTTACGTGTCCCGTCAGTCCTAGGTTGGCAGAACCTCAACTGCTGGGCCATTATTGCAGTGCAAAGAGTTGCTGATAGCAGAGGAGTAGCTAGGTGACTTACCCCTGTGATTAGGCAAGGATGGATTCCCCAAAACGTCAGAGGTCCCGATGGAGCGTTAGCATTAGTCCCAGTGGATTTTGCACTGGTCATGATCTCAACAGAGGAAGTCGTGGAATGAGTCAATGACAAACAAGCTGGTGATATTTGGACTATGCACAGGAATAGACGCTTCACTCACCTAGGTAGTCGCAGGATTCAAGGTTGCACCAAGGGATCTGTGCATGGCGGTGGTGCAAGTGAGACCCCCGTCATGAACCACTGCTCCCCGACCAGAAGGGTTGTCTGGGGCCGTGAGATAGAACTCCAAACACACCATGATCCAAAGGAAAAAGTGAGTTTAAGGGGATTAAGAACAATACGTGAAACACTCGCTCCATTCACATTCCGAATTCCATATTCGATTGGATTGTTGACTACTCCAGCAGAACGCAGCGCCAAAAGGCAGTTTTGGTCATGGGGGCTTGGCATTTTCGTCAGAATTGTAGGACCAACAAACATGAGCTATTTTATCAACAATTTCGTCAGAATTGATCATTAATTATCATAAAAAGGGTTTAGTGCTTTTGAATGTGTATGGATTATGAAATGCCACGTTGTTCTCTAATGATCACATTAATAAATTACAAGGCAGCAGCTAATTAAACTATTAGCCTAAAAAATTGATCAGCAGGTGAATGGTGAACCAGAAATATATAGTTAGACCTGAGACTGAAAAGATTAATTAATTGGACATTTTCAAGGATTCTGATGGTATATTGGTTACAAGCTTTTCTTGAGCTGGTTTGTTGAATTATAAGTGTTGAGCTGAAAAGCTTAGAATAAGATTGTTTAAATTGGTGTATTCACTTGTGCAAAATAATGCCAAGTGTAAAATTCTGTTTTGTAAAAGGCCATGAGTGCCATGTGTTGATTGATCCATGTGATTAGGTAGATGAGTGACTAAGATGAAATGTAGTGTATGTGTGGTCCCAAGTTTAAGGCCAACAGTTATGTAAAAGCATGTGCTTCGTGCTCTTTCAATTAACACAGAAAATATTCCTCTGCAATTTAGACAGAGAGGTTAAGAAACCATTCAGCTTCCTCTGTGTTCTTAGCTTTGCTCTTCGTCCAGCTCATTTTTCTGCAGATCAAAACCTGTGATTTCATCTACACTAACAGGTTTTGTTGAATGGCTTGTAGAATCACTTGGGAACACGTGCAGGTGTCAACGGCGCGGCTGGCAGAAATTTTGAAGAACAACGTTAGCTGAGATGTTAGTCGCAAGTTGTCATGCATCATGACAGAGACCACTGCTAAATTCTAACCTTTATATTTGCGTGTACCGAACTGTTTACCGAACACACTAAAAAATCTTGATTCAATTAATGCTATGATTCAAAAAAGAAAATATGAATTGGGCAGTTGGGCTTATACAGTCTTTGATTTATTTGTTACTCAGTGACGAACAATAAGTACTACTCACCTATACATTTGATATAAAAAATAAAGATTAAAACACTATGAAAACACATCCATTTATTTTACATATATCAAATTTAAGGGTTCGTTACCATCCATTTCTTGTTCACTCACTACATGACCACGTGACATTTGTATGGGCTTGTGTAGTTTAAAAAACTCTCGACCTTTCCCGCGTCCCGTCCTAGTGCTATTTTGAAACGGTCACTTGCATTCTAAATTCTAATACATATGATAATAATCCTAATGGTGATAAGTTTCCCTCCCATTATATATTCCTGCTCATTATGCATATTGATTTGATAAGCGCATAATTAGATATAATATGTAAACCAAACGTTGAGGGAGTAACACATAGATATACTACAAGTAGCTAGGATGTTACGATGAGGTGATGTATGTAGTATATCGCAAACTGAAGAATGGAATGAGCCATTCAAACTTCTTGCTATATACTAAAACAAAATAAAATTGAGCGAAAATTTTTGAAAGACAAAATAAAATTGATCCAGTCCAACTGTTTATTACTCTCCAGATCTCTTTCTTTCTCTCTTTATACTACAAGTAGCTAGGATGTTACGATGATGTTATGTATGTATAGTATGTCGCAAATTGAAGAATGGAATGAGCCACTCAAACTCGTGACACTTGCTATATGCTAAAACAAAAACAAAAAATTGAGTGTTTTTGGACAACAAAGATCCTAGCTTTAAACAAAAAAACTAGGATTTATGATTTTTTTCCAGAATAATACAAAAGTATAATTGTTTATTTCCCTGAGGGTAGTTATTTTGCTCAAAAATCTTTAAAGGCGTTAGCTTTTATCAGAGCACTGAAGCTTGTTGTTTTGGTTTTATTTTTTCCTAATTTTCCTTAGTTTCTAGGTGCTTTGGACATCAAAGACCCTAGCTTTAAACAATAAAACTACGACTTATCATTTTTTTTTCCAAAAATAATACAAAAATATCTTAGTTTATTTCCTTGAGGCTAGTGATTTTGCTCATTGATCTTTATAAGGCTTTAGCTTTTATCAGAGCAATGATTCATTCTTAGGTTTACCACTCCATTTTAGCAATAAAGTTGGTTTGTTTTGCACATATTTCCTTAGTTTATAGGTGTTTGGGATATAAAGATTTTAGCTTTAAGCAACGGTTTGTGATTTTTTCAAAACAAGTTGAAATTCTTCCATTTGAACGAACTAATGAAAAAAGGTTTTAAACTTTTATTAGATTGAATGGAGTAAGGTTATATTTTACTAGTATGGAAATATTTTACTGATAAAAATATATAATAGTAGGTTTACCACTCCATTTCAGCATATATCTGTCTTCTTAACTATTATTTGAAATTTTATTTCATAATTACTTAATTTTCTAGCTGTAATGCTTAGTGCTGGAGTTTGTGATTTTTTTCATACATATATATAAGAACAAAAGTATAGTATAAATTTAGTTGTCAAATAATAATAAAATAATAATAATAATAATGCATATCGTTAACACTACCTTTTAAACTCAGACTCTTGCATCCTTATCTGACAATTGTATGACTTGTAGTTGATTTGAGACATTTGGAATATATAGACTTGTATCTGTATGATTGAAGTTTATGGGTTTGATTTGTTTCGTTGTGTGTTAGATGGGTTTGCTGCATTTTGTGTAGATTGTCTTGCAAAAATGTCAGTGATTAAGTGGATAGGTTTCTGATATTTGCATCCCTAAACTCCGTCGACTTACTACCCATTAGTATATCAGTTACCTGTGTTGGATGGCTGAGTTACCAAATTTATTGTAAATGTAGACACCAAAATGAATGAATTGTGTTTTACTTGGTTTTTCAATTGTTTGTTCAGATGGCTGCTAAAATGATGTCTGCGGTCGGATTCAAAGGGATTCGTTCTGGTATTGGGCACAATGGCAGGGTGGCACTGCCAAAGCAAGTCAATGTTCCAATAAAAGTGACAATTCAGCAGTCACTTCGGTCTCAGTTGGTCGTCAAGAAGCACAATTTGGAGGTGAAAGCCACCCATAACATTGGCACACAGACAAATGAGGAAAATCCAGATGTTACCATCACATACAAGGTAGCTGTTTTGGGGGATCTCTCAAGAGTTGTGGGCGGATCATTGATTGATAGTGTTAGCTTTAAGGGCGCTAACATATCAATCTGTAAAGATGACTTCAAGGAGGCTGAGCTTGGTGGCAATGTGGAGGAGTTAAAGAGGTGTTTACAAGATGCCGATATGGTGATAGTGGCAGCGGGCATTTCCAGAAACCCTATGAAGTTCACTTATGATCAGATGCTAGCCTTCAATTCTCCCATTATCGATCGTGCGATCGATGCCATCGCCCTTCATTGTGCTGATGCTTTCATATGCTTCATGACCCAACCAATAGAGCATGCAATGAGGTCCACGGCAAAAGCCTTGAAGTCAAATATAGGATTTGATCCATTGAAGCTCCATGGTTTCTGCGTTACCGATCTGGCCCAGTTTAGTTTTAAGATAGAGGAGTATTACTATAAGTCCAAGACAAATATTCAAGTGCCAGTAGGTATGGCGGGTTATACGTTGGAGTGCATGGAGCAAAGCCGGATCAGCAAGTTTGGTCGTGGAATGGCAACGCTTTGGCTGGAAATTTATGTTGCGAAATATATCAATGATTGCATCCGGAAGCTGATGCTTGATAACAAGCCCTGATAAGGGAGAAGGTTTCATTTGGTCGATGGAAAGGTCTTCGGCTTTTGCTTCTGCTGGACTTTTTAAGTTGTAATGCTTTCATTATGTTATGTTCTAGGTTGTACGGTGGCAATTATGTCCTTTGACACGTCGGTTTTAGGGCATGTTTAGTACCACTCTCCTTGATAATATTAGCAAAATCTTAGGTAACTAGTCTAATTGCAACTGAGAGTTGAACGAACCAACGAACAAACGAGACCAACAGTTGCATTGCATCTGATTCGTTCCTCTAAACCAGAGACCAACAGGTGAGTTATAAATGATTGATGTGAATTTATGATTATGTGAGATGTGTTGAGAGCTCATAAACCTATTCCCCGGTGTTAGTGCTCCCGCCCAGAGATTGGGCACAGTCCTTCACGTGATGTTCACCTCTCGCGCCGTATGCTCACCTTGGATCCAAGTTAGGTGCATATGCTTGTCGTACAGACCACTATAGGTGGTTCTAACTCGTGGGTGACCCGCGATTAGCGCACAGTCTTCACATGATCGTAACACTTGAGCATATTTATTTTACACCTAGTCTTGTCGTACAGACCACTATAGGTGGTTCCGACTCGTGTGCAGGATATCATATGATTTGATATGATTAAGATTGGTTATGAGCTATAGATTCAATTGTACAGACCACTTGAGGTGGATCCAGCTTATATGTTGTTTATCTTGAGATTATTTCACCTGAGTACTCATTTGATGATTATGAGATATTGGCATGACATACTTAGTGGCATACTTATGAATATCTGCTATGAGCATGGTTATGAGTTAGTGGCATAGATATTTTTACATATCGTTATCTGATCATGATTTTGAGATATGTATATATATATATATATATTATATTTTCTGGGAAAATATACAGATTTTACGGCGAGGGGTTAGAACTTTTAAGAAACGAAATGGTTTTGAAAACCTTTGTTTTTGCCCACTCACGCTTTCTGTTTTTCGCCCCTCCAGGTTTTAGTTAGAAACTGTTGTTGGTGGTTCACGAGGATATCGGCGAAGGTTCTGACAGTTCACCATAAGTGTAGGATTCACCTTTGGGTGTTGTATAATTAGTATTTGTTCTGCTCGACTGCACTTAGGCTACTTATGCTCTGATTGTGTGTTTCACACTTATTCTCGCACCAGCACTCTATCTTAGCTAGTATGTTAGTGATTCGGTTTTTATTCATTCATATTCTCCTTATTAATATTGCTTCCGCACTATGCATATGGTTACGTCACTTCCACGTGACGGCTAGCATGCCCTGATTTAGGTCAGGGTGTGTCAATAAAAATAGAAATGAATATAGAAAACACTTAGAGATAGTTTTACAAGAATTTATCAATAATAGAATAGTGATTAGCAAAAATAAAATAGCATTAGAAAAGCAAGATATAGAATTTTCAGAAATGTATATTAAGGCAGGTACAATACAATTGCAAGATCATATAGCTAAAAAGGTCTTAGAATTTTTAGATAAGTTAAAAGATAAAAAACAGTTACAAGCATTTTTAGGACTGTTAAATTATGCAAGAAATTTTATTTCTGATTTAGGAAGAAAAATAGCAGTTTTACATAGTAAAACTAGCAAAACAGGACAAAAATATTTTAATAGTGAAGATGTTAAATTAGTTCAAAATATAAAGGAAGAAATTACTCTCAATTTAAGTCATTGACATTACCATTAGATGATAGTTACAAAATAGTTGAAATAGATGCTTCATCATTAAGATGTGCAAGTATACTATACCAGAAAAAAGCATAAGGAGTCACCAAAGTCTGATGAACAAGTTTGTTGATATTCATCAGGAAAATTTTAGTGATGTACAATCAAGATTACCATCAACAGATTTAGAAATTTTAGGAATAATTAACTCACTTGAAACATTTTCTTTATTTTTACATAATGAAATATTTTATGATTAGAACGGATTGTCAAAAATATAGTTTCTCATTATAATAAGATACATGCTAATAAACAAGCAGCCCGAAGATGGGTTAATTTTGTTGATTCAATTACAGTAAGTGGTTTTAAACCAATTTTTTGAACATATAAAAAGTAATGACAATACATTAGCTGATATCCTATCAAGATTAATTTGTTGAACAGGAATGGAATATCGTGGACCATCACCATCAAATAGCACAAGACCACAAGCCAGAAGACACCCTTCAGTAGCATAATGATGCACCATCAACCTCCACCATTCAGTGGATTCCAAAATAACATAAGCAGACCAGCATCACCACTAGTACCCACTTTCAACTTTAATGACAATATTGTTGAAGGAATCAGAAATCCAACTCTGAAATATAGGCCAAGAGTACCAGGACTTTCTGATAGGCAACAGATTCTCTTAGATAATTTTTTGGAATATCCAAATCAAACAGCCAAGCATGAGGTTAGGTCATGAAAAATTAATTAGAGCCTTAAAGCAAGAGTTTGATCACTTTAATTTTAATTTCCATCAAAGCCAGCAGCATATTCATTCTCTTGAGCACAAACTTCAAACCATTTCTAGAGACCATGAGTCATTATTTGGTAAGTTTACCAAAATGAACCAAGAACTCCAATCTCTTATAATGTAGCAGAATGCAAGTGACATCATGAAAAGAAAGTTGAAAATAGGTTTGGAAACTAATCAGCATAATAATAAAGAAAAAGAGGTTATTGAACCCATAGAACAAGAGGCTAATGAGCCCATATAAGAGATCAAGATTGAGCTCTTAGAAGAAGACATTGAAATGGAGCAGCATCTGCATCTCAGTGACAAAGAAAAACAAGAAAAATATGAAAGTTTTCTTATAAACATATCTTTAGACGTAATAATAAATAATATCATATTAGAAGAAATTTCAAAAGCAAAATTAAGAATAATGCCATCAGATATGCAAAATGAGATCTTGAGCAGAGCATCACAGTCCATGAAAGAGTTACAATTACAATTACAAAGTGTTTTGTATCAGTCCATCTTTGATCCAAAATTAGGGATGGATATTGTTACAAAGATGTATCCACCATGTCTCTGTGATAGTACAGAGAATTGTATTTGTAAACTAGAGATTAGTGTAGCTGTGCCCAGGATTAACATGAGAGATTTTAGACCATGGCATTTCAGTTATAAGCATCAGAAAAAACATAATGTGGTAAAAGTTACCCCAACCTTACTATTAGAGTTTGGCTATCTTGATAAAATTTGTATTAACCATATATCTCAACTAGAATCATTTCCTGAAAAGCTTACAAAAGTAGCATAAGGAATGTTCAATCTCCCGGTGGCCCAAAATGAGAGGGAAGATGATGAGGAGCGTAGAAGGAGAGATGACAAAGCAAGACTGGGTAGAACCTCACATTCCCGTAGAGTCATCCAAGCTGTGGGTCAGATCTGCAGGCCCATCCATTCTGGAAACCTTGATAGAAGCAGGCAACAACCAGGTACGAAACTCTTGGACGATTATTTTGTCTATAATAGTGCATTCCCTTCATTGTGCTGATGCTTTCATATGCTTCATGACCCAACCAATAGAGCATGCAATGAGGTCCACGGCAAAAGCCTTGAAGTCAAATATAGGATTTGATCCATTGAAGCTCCATGGTTTCTGCGTTACCGATCTGGCCCAGTTTAGTTTTAAGATAGAGGAGTATTACTATAAGTCCAAGACAAATATTCTAGTGCCAGTAGGTATGGTGGGTTATACGTTGGAGTGCATAGAGCAAAGCCGGATCAGCAAGTTTGGTCGTGGAATGGCAACGCTTTGGCTGGAAATTTATGTTGCGAAATATATCAATGATTGCATCCGGAAGCTGATGCTTGATAACAAGCCCTGATAAGGGAGAAGGTTTCATTTGGTCGATGGAAAGGTCTTCGGCTTTTGCTTCTGCTGGACTTTTTAAGTTGTAATGCTTTCATTATGTTATGTTCTAGGTTGTACGGTGGCAATTATGTCCTTTGACACGTCGGTTTTAGGGCATGTTTAGTACCACTCTCCTTGATAATATTAGCAAAATCTTAGGTAACTAGTCTAATTGCAACTGAGAGTTGAACGAACCAACGAACAAACGAGACCAACAGTTGCATTGCATCTGATTCGTTCCTCTAAACCAGCGGCCCGATTTCAACGTCATCAGACTGACTTCTATCTAAAAGACGAATGAAACATCCTTCATACTATAAAGAACTGAGAGCCATGAAACCTCAAGGCAATATGGCTGTGCTGCTTTGAGTTTCTTCCGGTCATCATGGACTGCGTACCGTTCGCCTGAAAGTTTACAGCTGCAGCCAGACTCTTGGTTGGCAACCATCGCAAGTGCCTCACATAACCTAAGAAGAACGAACGAACGAACAAAACAAACGAGACCAAAAGTTGCACTGCATCTGATTCCTTATTCTAAAACCAGCAGCTCGAATTAAACGTCATGGGATCGACTTCTGTCTAGGAAACAACAATATTCATTAATAGAATCCATAAATTCTCTGCTTAAATTTGTGCAGGGGTTCGTCAATCCCAAGATAGAGTCACAAAGTTAACATTCATGATACGGTCACAAGTTCAATTGACCTAAAATCAACTATACATAAATCACTCCTTCATGACTGCTTACAACCTCACCGATGCGGTATACTTTATAAGCAGCTCCATTCCCATCCTCTTCAAGTATCCTGTGGGATGCCTCCGGACTCACAACAAGAACCATGCCAATTCCCATGTTAAAAGTCCGTCTCTCATCTCAGCCTCTTCTACTCTTCCGGCCTTCTGGATCCATTTGAAAACTGGTGGGACTTCCCATGAGTCTTTATAAATGACCGCTCCTAGGCCTTTCGGGAACACTCGGGGGTATATTTTCTGTGAAACCACCCCCTGTGATATGAGCTACTCCGTTGACACCTCCCTTGCTTATTAAGTCAAGGACCTGCATGTTTCAGTGCAAGGCAATAATTAGTTAACAAAAAGCTCAATGACGGGAGCATTTGCA